CCCCCCCCCCCCCCGGGGGTGGGGCACAAACAACACATGCCCACGGAGGCGTGGCCATAAGAGGCTGTGTTTTAGTGGTCTTTGTTGACAGAAATGCCCCCCCCCCCCCTCTGCAGCGTCCAGCAGTCAGCGCCTCCCACCGTGCGGGAGTGGGCAGTGGGCAGGGTTCCGCTTTGTGCTGACACCCCTGTCACCGGGGACAGATGAGCACTGGGGGCCTCTGCTCTGACCACACCTATTATCGAAAGGCCCGAGGGGCGTCTCTGGTTAGCAGCTGGGGCAGAACACGGCGCCTGGAGGATGGAGACAATGGGCATTGTCAGGATTATCCTTATTAAATTTCTTTTTTATTGACTTCAGAGAGCAAGGAAGAGGGAGAGAGAGAAACATCAATGATGAGAGAATCATCGATCGGCTGCCCCCTGCATGCCCTCCGCTGGGACCAGCCCACAATCTGAGTATGTGCCCTGACTGTGATCGAACCGTGACTCCTGGGTTCGCAGGCGGGAGTGGGCAGTGGATGTACAACCACTGAGCCATGCCGGCCAGGCCAGGATTGTCCTTTTTAAGACCCCTTTCCTCAAACTCAAATGGTGTGAATGTGTCACCTACAGCTCAGTATTGCTCTGAGGGTGGTGGCCTAGTAATGTGCACACAGGGATGAAGGGGGCTTGGGGTTCCGTGTGGCCTCGAGCAGGGGCCCAGTGAGAACTTGTGGGTGAGCGGAGAAATGAGTAGTCTTCGCTTCTCACTCTCCACTGTTACTTCCTGCCCTCAAGTGGTTTTTCCTGGTACTTGAGACACTAGCATTTCATAAGGACCTTGTGGGGCCCTGCTCCAGACCCTGGACCCTGGACCCCATAGCATGGCTGGGAGGGGTGGGCGCCGAGAGGTCACGTGTCCTCCAGGTTGACCATGCAGGTAAGTCCGTCAGGGACTCGCACGAGACTGGGCTCAGTGCTGTGTCCCACCCATTCCTGTGGTTCATGTGGAGGCTGGGCCCCCAGGCCCAGCTCAGCCGGGCTGCAGGCTCCAACTGGCCATAGGACATGCAGGAGGGCCACACGCGCCGGGCAGGCTGCAAGGAGGTGGGGTGGGGGCAGGGCCCAGGTGCAGGGGCGAGGGACTCTGCAAGGATCTGCAGGCTGCTGGGAAGGGCTGTGTGCATATCCCCCACACCCTCCCAGTGTCCCGCCCCTGCCCCTGCCCCCAGGCCGGGCTCCTGGGAACGTGGAGAGAGGGTCTGGTGTTTCTGTGCATTTGGGGTGTTTGTTCTCAGAACATCAAGCTGAAAATCTTAGTGACTTTTCCAAACAGCAGATACATACCAAGTGGCCCTGGAAGTGTCCAAGCCCACGTGGTAAGCAGCTGAGCAAGGCGATAGGTGGTGTCACCACTGACCCAGTGGGTGTGTCTCATCCAGACAGTGGGAGGGCCTGGCTGATGCAGTTGCCCTGTGGCTCCTGCCTGGGCACTGGGTTGCGGGGGGGCACGCGTCCTGGCCCTCCTTGCCTGGGCACTGGATCCGAGAGGGGGGGCACGCGTCCCTGGCCCTGCCCGGATCCCGCCCATGTGCTGCCCCGGGACACGGTGATGAGTGCTCTGGACATGGGCTTCCGCCCCGGTGTGCGGCAGTGCCACCACCGCTTTCCCTTCCCGTGACTGAGGGCTGCAGGGTGGACTGGGTCCTGAGTCCCCCTGAGGAGCGGGACCCTGCTGGCGAGGTAAGTGGGACTGGACACGCTCTGGGGGTCCGCCACGGCCCTCCCCCCCCCCCCCCCCCAGCCCCACCTGTGCAGCCCAGGCTCAGCCTCACGGGGCAGACTCAGACCTGACATGATGTCACCCTCGGGTGGGCAGGGACACTTGTGGCGATGGTGGGGGTGACCCGGCGTGAGGGTCTCAGGCAGGCAGGGGGGCCTGACCCTCTGCTGCCACATGTGGGGCGCCCGCTGTCTGTCCCCAGGGTGTGACCTGGGTCAGGGTGTGTGTAAGTTTCTCCTGGTGTCTGCCTGCCTTGGACGGCACAGTGATGGGCCCTGAGCAGAGGACACAGCCAGGGTGCCTTGGCCACTGTGTCCCCACCAGCGCCTCGTCTTCCGCTCGGGCGAGGCTGTTGAAGCCACTACATCACTGATTCTTCACCCGCTCCCAGTGGCTGGTCCAAGTGCTCCCGTGTGATTGCCAGGAGCTCAGCGCCCGTGGAGAGGGGCCCACAGAGCGCACTTGGGTCTCGGCCTGAGCGTGAGGCCTGGGCAGTTGGTGCTGCTTGCTTGCCTCAGTGAGCAGCCAGCGTTGGGGGCGGGGGTCTTGACACCCTTCTTGGCGGGCACGCGGGTCCTTGAGGGGAGGACTGACACCAGCCGACCGCCCAGTTCACCCGCAGGGGATCTGACAGGAGCCTGGTGGAGGGGGGGTGGGGGGGGGCTGTGAGCTGCAGGAGCTGCTTGGGGGAAACAGGTGGTGATGTGATGGGTGCAGGGGGTGAGGCCGGGCACCGAGGGTGTGTCCCGCGAGCTGGACCCCAGCTGTAAAGCCCATGTGCGTATTTGTGGGTCGCAGCCGTGGCCCAAGGCTGTGCAGGTTGGGGGTTTAATAAACGGGAACTGGACACTTAGTGGAAATCC